TGTGTGTGTGTGTGTGTGTGGTTTGAGGACACAAATTTGTATAATAACATGGGTATGACATAGGTATTACAACGAGAAGGTGATTTATGAGGACATTTTCAGTGTCCCTGTAATTCAAAAGGCTTATAAATCATTCAGAATTAGTTGTTTTGAACAGTTGGCAACACTGGTGTGTTTGATAAGCGTTGGAATGGAACTCTGCAGGAAGGTAGATCTCCAGGACCAGGGTTGGGCACCCCTGCCATAAACTGTAAAAACCAACGTGTGTGTCTGCGTGTACATACGGGTGTGTGTTTTCCTTTCACTTCCACACCAAACCGGAGTGTATTGCTGAGGCACAGTCTACAGTAGTGGTTGACCGATTTGGCATTTTTAATAACCAGCAGACATGTTCACAAGGTCAAGTCTTTGAGGTTGAGTCCAAGACACATTTCAAGTCTTTGTTCTATTTTTAGCAATAGTTCTTTCAGCTAGTTATTGAAGCTAAATCGGTTTTGAATTACTGATTTCACAATACGATTTTCTCATTTATTATTATTTTTTTGCGAAATGAGATTTAAGACATATTAGAAATGGAAAGTTGTCCCTTTTATTATTTCTCAGAAAAAATGCTGCACGTTTCTTTGTGAAATTGACAAATGTCAAATAACATGACTAAATTGAAATTTAAAACAAACCCCAAATCAAATGAATAACACATGAAAGAAATCTCATATAAACAAAGTCAAGTCAAATCACCTTTATTTCTATAGCAGTTTTTACAATACAGATCGTGTCAAAGAAAGTTTACAGTATTAAATAGGAAAATAGTGTGTCAATAATGCAAAAGGACAATAGTAAACACTCCATTTTCCGTTAAAGGCAGTTCATCATTGAATTCAGTCATCATCCAGCTCAGTTCAGTTTAAATAGTATCTGTGCAATCAAGTTGATGATACCTGGATATGAAGTGTCCCCAACTAAGCAAGCCAGAGGAACCAAAACTCCATCGGTGACAGAATGGAGGAAAAAAAAGGCTTTGTTTGTGCCCTTTCCATTTAAAATTAGAGGCAACCACAGTATTTTAAACACCGTCCAAACAAAGAGGCTGCATACATGCAGCATGAGCAGTTTTTAATCTGAATTGAATTGTATAATTTCGAAATTTGAATTAAAAACAGAATGGTCGGACTTTAGTTTTGTGAAACTATCCTACATAAAACATCTGCACGAAACAAGCAGCAAACAGGCTGAATTAAAATGCAGATTCACTCTCTGCCAGCAGGTGGCGCTTATGAAACGGCAGCGATACAGCGTTTCCTTGGTTACTGCTGTAAACACAGCAGCGCTGAGGTTATGAACACTAATATGCATTATACAGAGAAAATTCCATATACAGATTTCTAAAGACAGTCAGTCACCTTCAGAGATACATTCATATAAACTCACTCCCCCAATTGTATTGCGATTTATTTAACATCTCAACATGTTTCTCACATATTGGTATGGATTTTCAGCCGGCTCGGGGAGCACCGTTACATCCCTATGCTTCAGATATTGGTTTCTGTGTGTAAAGTTTAGGGATGGGTATCGTTTACATTTTATCGCTATTGATACCGATACCGCTTATCGAAACAGTACTTTCTGGTGCAAAAAGATATGATGTGAAAAGTTATTTTATTACTGCTGAACTTTAGCAACTGTATTAAAGTTCTTCAGTCAAGAGCAGTGAGTTATTTCTCTCTTTGTGTTTTATTTTATTAACATTAAAAGGAATAGTTCCCCCAAAAATGAAAATTGTCATTTACTCACTCTCAAGTTGTTTTAAACCTGAATGAGTTTCTTTCTTCTGTTGAACATAAGTTATTTTGAAGAATGTGGGAAACCAAATAGTTGCTGGTCCTCAGTGACTTTCATATATATATTTTTCCTGCTATCAAAGTCTGTGGGGACCAGCAACTGTTTGGTTACCCACATTCTTCAAAATATCTTCTTTTGTGTTTAGCACAAGAAAGAAATTAATACAGGTTTTGGACAATATGAGTGAGTAAATAATTTTGGGTGAACTATCCCTTTAATGACAAGCGGCAGCATGTTTAGTACCGTCCCTTTAAGACCAGCGCGCATCTGTTTTTCTCTCAACTGTTTACTTTCACTTTAGACATAACTAACTGTGTTTACATGTACACCTTGTGTGTTTTTGACAGTATTAGCGCAATCAGACGATAACTAAGATAATCGGCTGCTGTTTAACAGGTCTTTTAGTGTACGCACGCGTCAGTGTATGCGCTCTGAATAAGTGCACGTCAGAACAGCACGCAAATGAAACTCTTGTAAGTCGCTTTGGATAAGTGTCGGCTAAATGAATAAATGTAAATACAGCACATTGCTTGAGGTAGATGTTGTATTTTGTTAGTAAATGTTTCATTATATTACTAGTGTTGCCTCTTTTGTTCACTATTACATTACTGCATATATTGCATCTGACACTGGTGTCGCCTAGTTTTGTAATGTGAGCCCACACTTTAAAATGTTTCACTCTTGCCGCGATGACCGACTGCACGCAAACACACACCGCACATGCGCATGGATATCACACGCATGTCGAGCAAACATCGGACACATCATTCAGTGAAGGAAAATGACAAGCAACAGCTTTTAATTTGTCGTTAACATTGAAGTATACGGAGATAAAACAACGCAAGTATCGATAACAGTATCGTTTGTTCTGAAGCTTATCGGTATTCCGATACTGACCCAATCACATACCGGTCCAAAAAAATAACGGTTATCGGTACCCATCCCTAGTGATCGCGCAGGGGCCTCTCGCACACATACACAACATATCAGTTATAGCATACTTGACATCGCAGCCTGTTCATTATCAAATAAAATAAGCCAACCATACATACAGTTACACTGCTCAATTTGAATAGTCTGAAGAACAATCTATTGCGTAATATTTATTTTTGTCTCTCAAAAATGCAATTTTATATAAGGTATTTTTAAACAATGCAGAAAACATATATCTAAAAAAAATTGTGTGTGTGCGCGCACGGGCATGAATGAATTAAAATACTGAAGCAGTCAAAGGATCGGAGACATAAATACATGAAAGTATGACTGAAATGTTAAAATGTTTAAAAAATTATAATAAAATAATACACATTTATTTTGTGGCACTTAAAAAAAATTATTTAGTGCCTATATTTGTATCGTATATTTTATTAACATTAAAAGGAATAGTTCCCCCAAAAATGAAAATTGTCATTTACTCACTCTCAAGTTGTTTTAAACCTGAATGAGTTTTTCTTCTGTTGAACATAAGTTATTTTGAAGAATGTGGGAAACCAAATAGTTGCTGGTCCTCAGTGACTTTCATATATATTTTTTTCCTGCTATCAAAGTCTGTGGGGACCAGCAACTGTTTGGTTACCCTCATTCTTCAAAATATCTTCTTTTGTGTTTAGCACAAGAAAGAAATTAATACAGGTTTTGGACAATATGAGTGAGTAAATAATTTTGGGTGAACTATCCCTTTAATGACAAGCGGCAGCATGTTTAGTACCGTCCCTTTAAGACCAGCGCGCATCTGTTTTTCTCTCAACTGTTTACTTTCACTTTAGACATAACTAACTGTGTTTACATGTACACCTTGTGTGTTTTTGACAGTATTAGCGCAATCAGACGATAACTAAGATAATCGGCTGCTGTTTAACAGGTCTTTTAGTGTACGCACGCGTCAGTGTATGCGCTCTGAATAAGTGCACGTCAGAACAGCACGCAAATGAAACTCTTGTAAGTCGCTTTGGATAAGTGTCGGCTAAATGAATAAATGTAAATACAGCACATTGCTTGAGGTAGATGTTGTGATTTGTTAGTAAATGTTTCATTTCAATCTTATTAGTGTTGCCTCTTTCGTTCACTATTATACTACTGCATATATTGCATCTGACACTGCTGTCACCTAGTTTTGTAACGTGAGCCCACACTTCCGAACGTTTCACTCTTGCCGCCATGACTGATTGCACGCAAACACACAGCGCAGATGCGCATGATATCACACGCACGTCGAGCAAGCATCGGCCACATCATTCAGTGAAAGAAAATGACAAGCAGCAGCTTCTAATTCATCGTTAACATTGAAGTATTCGGAGATAAAACAACACAAGTATCGATAAGAGTATAGTTTGTCCTGAAGCTTATCGGTACTCTGGTATTTGACCCAGTTACGTACCTGTCCAAAAAAATACCGATTCTCGGTACCCATCCCTAGTAAAGATGCCTTTAGACTTTGTTTATTTACAATGCAATCATGCGTGTATAATAATGCTGGCTTGGTATGTTTAGAGATGAATTGTTGTGACAGTTGCCACTGCAGAACATACTAATAGGGAATGAATGGATTAGGAATGAATAGAAAAATGTGGTGTATGATGCTGTCATGTGGGGAGAATGTGTATGGAATATCATAGTGACACTTAAGTCACACTTGAGTTTCCATCTCTGATAACCAGCTTAATTAAACTCTAGCCTAGTTTGCCTGTATTGTTTGGCTGATATATTGAAAGCGCACTTTTTGACAGCGATGAAAACGCCAGGAAGCTCCTGTTCTCCATCTTCGTTAGTCTCTTAAATTTAGTAAAGTGTGTATGATGATTTGTAGGATCTTGCTGGAGAAATCTCGCTCTCGTTTGACTCTACATCACATTGATTGAGTCACTCTTGACACTAAACGGTTGGTTTCTTTGGTGTTGCTGGTTGGATGTTGTGTCAGGCTCAGTTGTGTTTGAGAGTGTTTTGGATATTTGACTGTAATATAAATAGTTTGGACCCTCATTGATTAGTGTATTTCTGTGTCTGACAGGAGCTGGGTTTGACGGAGCTGGATAAATCTGTGCTGATGTATGGATATGCGACGGCCCTGCTGGAAATCGGACAGCCTGAGGTAATGCACCACAATTCAGCTTGATGTTTACCTGGAATGTGATGTAAAGAAACTTCTGCTAGTGTCATGTGCAGGAGACGAGTGTGACTGAAGTCTTGTGACTTTACTGCTCACTTTATGCACTACAAATGAAAACCTGTTCAGATGCCATTCTTCTTGTGCTTTCGTCTCGCATTCGGACTTCAATCAGTGTCATTTAAAGCATCTGCCAAATGTGCTAAAAAGAAGTTGTAGAATGCAAAAACTGGTCTGTATGTGAAGATGGACCTGATGAGTGAAACTGATGCATAGTTTCAGTTTGTCATGTGACACTCAGAAAAAGGTTTAGAATGAGTGACGGTGTCCACGATCATTATGAACACATTTCCACCAAAGCCAGAGATATTTCACTGTATCACTGCACGAGTCTGATGCACCTTTGCTGTAGAAGACCTTCTCTCATTCAAAATCTCTCAAATCAAAGAGTTCCAGATGCAAAAATCAGACTTTAATGGTCAAGAAGACAAAGCAGAGATGCCTGCAGGGCATCGGACCGTCTCACTCACAGTTTACACGTTCATACGGTTGATCTCAAAGAGATCGTTGTTACCAGTTATCTCATTTGCAGGTGTTCTTTTCTCTTTCTCTTCCTGGAAACTCCCCAATACTCCCTGATTCTTCTGCCACAGTCCCCTCATTAATTGATCTCTGTTTCTCTTTTTAAGGGTGGCAGACTGCCAACTAGCCTATGTAGAAATACATCACAGAGTGATTATTCAGTGCGTCTGCCTCATTGCTTTTATCTAAAGACTTAGGCGATGCGGCCTAAATTATCCCTCGGTGTCGGTGCAGATGCAAGCTCAGAGACGTACAGCATCAAATCACAGACGACTAAAATCATGGCTTCATGCTGGCTATTCTACAAACCTAAATGTCAGATAAAAATGTACTGTATTTTCAGTTGTTGTTCATCGATTGTGTTGTTTCTTGTGTTTGAAGGAACTGGCTGAAGCTGAGCGGTTGTTCACCAAATTAGAGTCGTCAGAGAGGAAGTTTCAGTTGCTGGTGCATTATGGGATGGGCAGAGTTTACCTGAAGGAGAACAGGTGAGTGTTGATTTTGAATGCTGCTGCACTGAATGCTAAATGTCTTCGACAATTTCTTGTCTGGGTTCGATGTGTTGTAGATTTACTAAAGCTCTGGAGTGCTTCACTAACGCACAACTGATGATCCAGAGACGCATCACACCTGGAAAACTCACCTGGCCAACCACTAAAACTACAGTAGAGGAAACACAGCCGGCCTGTTTAAAGGTGCATAATGTGTGTGTGTGTGTGCGTGAGAGATAGTGACCGCTGATCCCAGAATATTCTGGCTTTAACACAGTTCAAGCAAAACTGATTTAGACACATTTTACAGAAAAATGTATGCCCATTTCTGCTTCTAAACCCCCTGAAAATTTGTTTGCTCTTTACTGTCTGTTCATATATACCAAACCTAAATATGAATGAACAGACAGTAAAGAGCATGCAGCATGCAGGTACTTGTGATCTTACAAGTGTAAATAAAGAACTGGTTGTTTCAATAAGTGGAAACATTAGAGTTTTGGACATATAATGTAATAAAAATAGTTTTAAAAAAGTAACTACAAATGAGCATGTAAAGCAAATATCTTTAAAAGAAATTCTGTGTGGAGCATGTTAGGGCTGCATGATTAATCGCATGCGATAGTCATGCGCATCTCGTCTGTAAAGCTGGTTCTGTGATTAGTAGTAAATCTCCATCACCTGCTTTCAGATGGAGCAGTATTTACTACACAGAGCCGTACTTCACTGGCAAGCTACACAATAACGTGTTCATTATCACAGACGATTTAATCGCGCAATTATGAAATCGAAGATATCGTTCTGCGATAATGACAGTTGTTTGCGTAGCTTGTCAGTGAACTACAGCTCTGTGTAGTAAATGCTGCTCCATCTGAAAGCAGGTGAAAATACCACATTTAATACCATGTTTTTACTCCAAACTCACTTCATAACGTCAGTCGAGTGTTTGAAATAAATCCTTCTGTGAGATGATGTGGCTTCTTACACAGAATAAAGCATATTTAACCTTAAACATATTTCATAGTATTCTAAGCGGTGATAAAGGCATTGCATTATTATATACTTTATTATTATGAAAATTATAATAAGAACTCGGATAAACCATATATTGTCGTAGTCGTGTGTTTATTAGTCAGGCTGAATCACTGAAAGCAGTTCAATCGTCTGTTTATTCAGCTAGTGCTGTAGGGATGTCCTGGGTTTCTTCTGCGGGGTGTATTTGGAGTTTCTCTGGCCTTCAGATGGAGATTTACTGCTGATCACAGAACCCTGCTTCACTGAAAGAGACGCATGACAATCACAGCTTCTGACTAATCGCGATTTCATTTCGATTTATCGTGCAGTCCTAACTCTACTGATTCCCTATAAATTCACACCAGAAGTTCACACCAGAAATAAGTTTGAATCATTTACTAAAATGTGTCTTACAAGATGTTTTATTAATCTGGTTCATTCACAAACAAGATGGCTCATTCAGTGCCGCTCCGAATCATATTCTTTCAGTAGGTTAAAATAATGAAATGCTCAAAGCATTCAAAGCAAAAATCATCAAACACATCAAGTATGATTCAGTGTATGGAAGTCAACAAGAATGTTTCATTCACTTAAAAGCTATGTTCGAAAACACAGACTCGATCATATACGGACCACTTACATCATACACAAGTTTGCCATCCATTCTTGGGCAACAGATCCAGCCAGGCAACCCGGTTTACAGGTAGTACCCGTCAAGCTTGGTTATGAACACAGATAATAGATTGTGCCCTGGAGATGGAAATAGGGAAATAAACCGCTGTTGCTTGGCAATAGTGTCCCTGTTCGGTAAAATATTAAACAAGTTAATCACATCAGCGCCAAAAGAAGTTGTGAGACTGTGTTGGGAGTTCAGGGACTGTAGCAGCGCTGTGTTTAGGGAGCGTGAGACGTCTGGAAGAATTCGGCTGAGTCACACCTGCCCAGAGGAGGCAAAGCTTATGCCAATTTGCAACTGCCCTCCCTGAAAATTCCTGGTCTGCTATTATCTTCTGCAGCCAGACTCTGCCAGCCTCCCCAAGGGAGCGGGGCAAGGGGCCATCACTGCCTGAAAGCCTGCTGACGTGGATCTCAGTGGGCCTCTCGCCTGGGCAAAGAGGAGCAGAGGAGAAGAGACAGAACGTTCTGAGGACGCCACTGACATACAGGCAAAAACAAACAGTTTCATCAGCATGTCCCCCGAGGCAGGATCCAGGGAAGTGTCTGCCGCAACCACAACCAACAGGATGCTTTTGAAAGCGAGAGCATATGTATCTGCTGCTTCAAAGTGGCATTCTTTAAATTCAAGTGGTGCTTCATTATGAATTGACATCTAGCAACCTGGAGAGATGCTGGAACGGCTAGTCAAACCGCTTGCTTATAAAGTTCCTAACGTATGCACTTTTGCGCGCACTGAATTAAAAACTATAGCAGATCCATTCATAAAGTGAAGCACTAAAAAACCAAGTGAAAGATCATTCACATCAAGACTGATGCAACAAATCGATTTGACAATGAAGCTGATTAAATCTGGCTCAAAAGAAAAGTTTGGCATAATAATGATTTATTTTTTCTTCTTCCAAATTTGACTTGCCCTGCCAACATTTCCAACACAATTTTTCAAATTAATTATATTATAATTTTACATTTATATTTTCTAATTTAAAAAATTTATGATTTTTATTCAATTTAACATTTACTTATTTCATATTTTACATTATTTAATTTACCTAATATTTATTTTAATTACATAAATTAAAAAAAATAATAATATTTATAATGCATGTTTAACATTTTTGTTATTATTCTATTATATAAACATACCGTGTTCATTATCACAGACGATTTAATTACGCGATTATGAAATCGAAGATATCGTTCTGCGATAATGACAGTTGTTTGCGTAGCTTGTCAGTGAACTACAGCTCTGTGTAGTAAATGCTGCTCCATCTGAAAGCAGGTGAAAATACCACATTTAATACCATGTTTTTACTCCAAACTCACTTCATAACGTCAGTCGAGTGTTTGAAATAAATCCTTCTGTGAGATGATGTGGCTTCTTACACAGAATAAAGCATATTTAACCTTAAACATATTTCATAGTATTCTAAGCGGTGATAAAGGCATTGCATTATTATATACTTTATTATTATGAAAATTATAATAAGAACTCTGATAAACCATATATTGTCGTAGTCGTGTGTTTATTAGTCAGGCTGAATCACTGAAAGCAGTTCAATCGTCTGTTTATTCAGCTAGTGCTGTAGGGATGTCCTGGGTTTCTTCTGCGGGGTGTATTTGGAGTTTCTCTGGCCTTCAGATGGAGATTTACTGCTGATCACAGAACCCTGCTTCACTGAAAGAGACGCATGACAATCACAGCTTCTGACTAATCGCGATTTCATTTCGATTTATCGTGCAGTCCTAGAGCATGCCCCCGATCCGCACAATGCTCTCACCTTTTTCCCCCTTACCTGTTTGCATCTCTGGCATCACAATGATTGTCTGCAGATGCTGAACCCAGAATAGTCCTTGTGACCTTGCTTGACATGCTGATGTATTTCCATTTGAAACAAGAAGTTGGAGCTTGTTCCTTTTTTTTTATATTCAGTGGTGTTTAGCTCAGTAAAGCCACTCACCACAGCCGCAGGTGTACAAAAAATGTCTACAGGATTAAATGATTGAATATAAAACTAATGTTAGAGCAAACAGACTTTCAGGACTGAAAGCAACAAAACTTCTCTTATAACATCGTGCATGTTTATGGTGCTGATATGAACTGTTTCTGTCCTGAAGGTACGTCTGGAGGACTTCATAGAGGTGTGTAAGTTTCCTCCTAAAGTGGACGCGGTCTGCCGGTATCAGCACTGCCTCTCTCATACGGTGGAGATCTACTTCAGCGATCCAGACTTTAAGGTGAGTGTGCTGAGCGGAATCTGCTGCCTGATCGGTCTGGCGATCTGTAACGAGCGTGTGCTGTTTGCAGGGCTTCATCCAGCTGACCTGCTGTCAGAGCTGCAGAGTCGAGTTTCATATGAGCTGCTGGAAGAAGCTCAAAACACTTTCATTCTCCGATAAGAACGACAAGGTCAGAGGTCTTTCTCTTATGTGAGAAACCTGAGGATGTTACAGACGCTCACTGTTCTTATCTGTTTACTGCAGGATTTTCTAAAAGATTCATGTTTTACGCCAGACTGTGGAGGTCAGGTCTGTCACATTGTAATATATGGCTCAACGGGGCTGATAAAGTGTGAGGTGAGATGCGTGTACACACACACACTCACTCTCTCTCTCACTCACTCTCTCACACACACTCACTCACTCACTCACTCACACATACACTCACTCACTCACTCTCTCACACACACTCGCTCACTCTCTCACACACACTCTCTCACACACACACTCTCTCACTCATACACACACTCACTCACTCTCTCTCACACACACACACACACACACACTCACTCAAAGAGCACGCAGTGATGTTTCATTTACTTACTAAGATTCTCCTCTTCTCTCAGTTTAAAACATCTATTCCTAAAATCAGACCTGTTGGACGATTGAGAATCAAGCAGCAATGTACAAGGTGGCGTTTAATGCATCTTACGCATCATATTTCATACTTTAGCTGCATCTGTTGATGGCGGCTGATTTCTCTCTTTGTACCTCGACAGTATTAAGAAGTTGAAGTCTAAAAATGAACGAAAGCTTCGGCGGAAACAACACAAGTTGGCGACACGTTCTGCCTGTCAAGAGAGAAAGCAAGTAACGGCTGCGGACGCCCCTAAAGACCCGACGGCAGAGAGAGGTATCCAAATACATATCATGATAATAATGCTTATGAAGTTAAAAGATTTGAATTCATTTACAGGACTTTTCAATGTAAGGGCGCAGAATTTAGTAGAGACACTATGACATGTCCCTCTCGATATTCAGCCACTATTAAATTGTCCATCGCAATAATTTTGCTCAAACAATTATAAAGCTTTATTAAATGTGTATGTAACCACTGTTGTAATTTTGGCCACATCTGAAATGGGTCGAACCATTGACATTTACCTGAGAAGTTAAAGAAATACGCTAGATTTAATAGATGTGTGGAGTAAGAACATATAAGAGCTGAAGTGTTTGAAACATACGAGTACAGTTCGGCTGAATGATGAAGTTTGTCCTCTTAAACTTTGTTGTTCTGCTTTTTTGTGCTCTTCTGCTTCTGCTTTTTGCAAACAAGTGAATGAATCTTCCTCAGAAGAGACAAAAACAGCAACTCACTTCAGTGTCTTACATTATAATTACATCCATAAGCTTTGTGAAATTTGCAGTAACTGATGAATCTGTTGTTTGACTTCTTCATATTTAAGGAGAGAACTATAGTTTAAGTCGGACATCGCTTGTTATGATGTTGAAGGGTATAGAATTTAGTAGAGATGCTGTGACATGATCCTATATCAGACGCTAATAAATAACTTTGATCAAACAATTAAATGTCTGTTATCTGCTGTTATGTTCCCATCAATGCCAAAACCAAACCTACACCATTGTTTCAAGGTTTAGAAATCACACTTTTAAAATAGGACAAAAACAGTTGCTGATCTATACAAATAAGAAATATCTAGATTTTTTTTTATATTGATTTTTGGCTCATTTTAAAGTAATGGTTCACCAAAAAAATGCATGTTCTGTGATAATTTTCTCGCCCTCAAGTTGTTCCAAACCTGTATGAGTTTGTTTCTTCTGTTGAAAACAAAAGAAGAATTTGTGTAACCAAACAGTTGACAGTAGCCATTGACTTTACTAGTCTGGAAAAGCCCCGGACCCCCAGATGAGAACCGCTGTTAATAACACTGTATCTCTGTTCTTATCGCTCCTGCAGAGCCACCCAGAGACTGTATTGATATGGACCGTGTTTTACATCAAATTCATGATAACAAAGGACTTTTTAAAGAAGAGTCAGTGAATATTTCTTGCTTTTTGGAGCATCTGCGGCCGTGGCTGGATTTATTTGAGAGTAAAGGACATGAGAGTGTGCTAAACAGCCGTAGAGACCCTGGACCTCTGTGGGAGCTGGTGGACCTTCTGCTGGAGTCCAGAAACCGGGTCTGGGCTCGAGTCTTCATCGAAACGCTCGGCCTGATGCTTCATATCAAACCCAAAGTGCAGCAGTGGGCTCAGCAGCTCGATAACGCTGGTGCGTTTCATTCACACTGCTGTTCACTTCCACATCTTCTGACTAAACGTCGCCGTTTTCACGACTGAATATTGTGTACAAGTGTCCATCATTAATCAGTCTGATGTGTGTCTCCTCCGTCAGGTCTGAAAGCCGCGGAGTCGTTCGTCAGTCGTTACAGCTCTCATCTGGAGGAGTTGGACCTGAAGCCTCTGCTCACGTTCACACCGCTGCAGGAGACACTCATCGAGAAGTTCGGCACCGTTCCGGAATTATTTGACCGTGACGGTTTAACTGTAATGGAGTACTTAAGACAGGCTCCGGCTAAAGAAATGCGTCTGTTTATTTGGACTCTAGAGTCGAATCGAGAGCGCTATCATTCCTGTCACTCCATTCTCGATCAATATTTTGAAGATGGTACGTAAGTCAGAACAAGCGTTTTATATGTGAAGGGAGTTTTTTGTAAATAATTGTTCGTTTTTCTTTAGATGCTGTTTGTTTAGTCATTAAAAAGACGGATGATAAACAGCAACTCACTTCAGTGTCTTACATTATAATTACATCCATAAGCTTTGTGAAATTTGCAGTAACTGATGAATCTGTTGTTTGACCTCTTCATATTTAAGGAGAGAACTATAGTTTAAGTCGGACATCGCTTGTTATGATGTTGAAGGGTATAGAATTTAGTAGAGATGCTGTGACATGATCCTATATCAGACGCTAATAAATAACTTTGATCAAACAATTAAATGTCTGTTATCTGCTGTTATGTTCCCATCAATGCCAAAACCAAACCTACACCATTGTTTCAAGGTTTAGAAATCACACTTTTAAAATAGGACAAAAACAGTTGCTGATCTATACAAATAAGAAATATCTAGATTTTTTTTTATATTGATTTTTGGCTCATTTTAAAGTAATGGTTCACCAAAAAAATGCATGTTCTGTGATAATTTTCTCGCCCTCAAGTTGTTCCAAACCTGTATGAGTTTGTTTCTTCTGTTGAAAACAAAAGAAGAATTTGTGTAACCAAACAGTTGACAGTAGCCATTGACTTTACTAGTCTGGAAAAGCCCCGGACCCCCAGATGAGAACCGCTGTTAATAACACTGTATCTCTGTTCTTATCGCTCCTGCAGAGCCACCCAGAGACTGTATTGATATGGACCGTGTTTTACATCAAATTCATGATAACAAAGGACTTTTTAAAGAAGAGTCAGTGAATATTTCTTGCTTTTTGGAGCATCTGCGGCCGTGGCTGGATTTATTTGAGAGTAAAGGACATGAGAGTGTGCTAAACAGCCGTAGAGACCCTGGACCTCTGTGGGAGCTGGTGGACCTTCTGCTGGAGTCCAGAAACCGGGTCTGGGCTCGAGTCTTCATCGAAACGCTCGGCCTGATGCTTCATATCAAACCCAAAGTGCAGCAGTGGGCTCAGCAGCTCGATAACGCTGGTGCGTTTCATTCACACTGCTGTTCACTTCCACATCTTCTGACTAAACGTCGCCGTTTTCACGACTGAATATTGTGTACAAGTGTCCATCATTAATCAGTCTGATGTGTGTCTCCTCCGTCAGGTCTGAAAGCCGCGGAGTCGTTCGTCAGTCGTTACAGCTCTCATCTGGAGGAGTTGGACCTGAAGCCTCTGCTCACGTTCACACCGCTGCAGGAGACACTCATCGAGAAGTTCGGCACCGTTCCGGAATTATTTGACCGTGACGGTTTAACTGTAATGGAGTACTTAAGACAGGCTCCGGCTAAAGAAATGCGTCTGTTTATTTGGACTCTAGAGTCGAATCGAGAGCGCTATCATTCCTGTCACTCCATTCTCGATCAATATTTTGAAGATGGTACGTAAGTCAGAACAAGCGTTTTATATGTGAAGGGAGTTTTTTGTAAATAATTGTTCGTTTTTCTTTAGATGCTGTTTGTTTAGTCATTAAAAAGACGGATGATGACGAGCACATGGTAAGAGATGCGTGCTGAAGTGTTTGTTTCTGAAGCGTTTCATCTGAGTAAATGACTCTCTCTCTCTCTCTCTCTCTCTCTCTCTCTCTCTCTGTGTGTTTCAGAGCTCAGTATTTAAGAGTAAAAATCGGCATCGCAAGAAGAAGCAGAAGGAGTTAAAGGTGAGCATGGTCAGTGCAAAGGTGCAGGACCAGCGTGCTTGATGCTCATCTGTGTGTCTGTGTGTTTCAGTCTGTTATTGTGCTGTCTGGAATGAGAGGTGGACATCCGGGGGATGAGGATGAGGAAGATGAGCTGTTCTCTGAGGAAGACGCTTTGTGAGTTCAGAACCGTTGCGTGTCACAAACGTGAAGCGAGTCAGTTTCGGTGACGTTGTGCGTGTGATGTTCCAGGATGTTCCTGAGCAGCATGGATCCGTTCAGCGTCCCCGAACACCTGCGAGGGCAGCTGGAGGAGTTTGAGGAGCAGTACGCCGGATCAGCCCACCGGAGCCACTACCAGAGAATCCTGGACAGTAACCCCGACCCCACTAAAGAGAGTTTATACGAGTACGTCTCTTTAACTATAAAACTTATGCAGTTATGTTAATTCAGAAGGAAAACTTTGTTGTCAGTGGACAGAAATATTACATTTACATTTACATTTAGTCATTTAGCAGATGCTTTTATCCAAAGCGACTTACAATTGGGGGAAACTTATTTTGGATGCGATTAATCGTTTGACAGCACTAATCAATATATATATATATCTCTCAGTGTTTATCATCATCTGAATCGTGCTGTGACTCGTATAATCTCATGTACTTCATAGACATCTATTCTGTTCTCTGTTGTTCTGTTGTCGGTGATTCTTTGTCTGGACAACGGCACTGTTCACACACTGTGGTATCGGGGCATTTTTACGAATACAGGAGCGCAGTATCGGTATCTCAACATCAGTTTGATACGCAGAGGAAACATACTTCGACACAGACACAGATACAGATAAACACAGTCATGTGAGCTGCTGTTTTACGGCTGAATGAAGCTGTGTGTGTTTTCTGTAGTCACACCAGAGACATCAGTGTGAAGAATAAAGAGTATCAGGCAGACCTGGAACGATTCCTGGATGTCAGGTGAGTCTGAACACCTGTTACCGTCTTATACAGTATAAACCTTTGCATCACTACCAGTTCAAATTAAACAACCTCTGAAAAAGTAATGGTGAATGTTTTATTTTTTTAATGGTTGTTTTAAATTTGATCTTTATAGATGGTATTTCAAAATATTACTGTTTTTACTGTATTTTGATCAAATAATTGCAGCTTTGGTGATTTAGAAGTGATTTTGAAAAACTGAATTATTCTAAACTTTTAGCTTCCAGTGTGTATGTATTTGAGAATGTCTCTTGTATTGTTTATGTGGGTGATCTAACCGAAATCATTTATCTGTGATGCACATCGCTGAATAGTAATTAGGCTTGTCACTACAACAAATTAATATAAACTGAATAAAACCTTACAGAAAACTCAAAACTTTCCATATAAACACACAACACATTACTAACCCCAACTCACAGCTACTGTAGGTAAATCCACTTTAGTCCACATGCATACAGTACATTCGCATGATATATATATATATCATAATGCAGATCTCAACTGCTTGAATATTGTTGTCAAATGTAAACTATATTATCGCACAGCTCTAAATGGATTGTTGTGAATAATTGGATGTGATGCATTAACTGTGTCCTGCAGTAACCAGTGTGCGTCTGAGCGTCTGCATCTGGAGGAGGAGATCAAGCGCTTCAGAGACGCATGTGTGAAGGCCCAGAGGAGATCCATGATGGCTCAGGTGAGTCTTTCAGCCGTGTGTTGAGGGTGTGTTCATTCCTGGACACCGCAGTGACGCCGGTGTGTGTGTGCTTCAGCTGTGTGTCCTGCAGAGCAGACGTGAACACGCGCTGCGGCGGCTCCGGATGAGTGTCTCTGAAGGGAAGATGGTGGTCAAACACCTGACGGAGGCGTCACTCAGGTACGGCTCACACGTGTTCAGAGTGATTTACACGTGATGTGAGTAGGGCTGTGCAATATATATCGGCTGCGATAATATTAGAATTGTTGTTTATTTGTTGTTATATCACAAAAACAAAACACTCTTACAGACACATGCATTTACAGTGCGTTCTTTCACTGCACGATTCTAGGGCTGAAACAATTCCTCGAGTAACTCGAATACAAAAAAATCATTGATTTCTTCGTTTAGTCCATTTACTGTAACTACATACAGAACACTTGTTTCCCCATGGACCATTATTACTGACGCACAACCCGATAAAAGCTATCCATGCTAAATTCTGTCATATTAGTCATTTTCAATACTATTTAGGGCAGATAGGGTGGATAGTATGTATGCACATTGGGACGCAGGGATATTTAAGACCGTAAATCAATATATGGTGGCTAGTTATGATGTCCCTAAGTTAGCTATGTTTTGTGAAAGACTTGGCACCATTCATGTTGATTGTCTCATTCTCTCTCTGTGACACACACACTCACACACAGACTCACTCAGTGAGCACAGTCTCTCTCACACACACACACACTCAGCGAGCACAGTCTGTCAAACTCACTCACACACACTCAGCGAGCACAGTCTGTCTCACACACACACACACACACTCAGAGAGCACAGTCTGTCACTCACACACTCAGCGAGCACAGTCTGTCTCACACACACACACTCACTCACTCTCACACACTCACACACTCAGCGAGCAGTCTGTCTCACACACACACACTCACTCACTCACTCACTCTCACACACTCACACACTCAGCGAGCACAGTCTGTCTCACACACACTCAGCGAGCACAGTCTGTCTCACACACACTCAGCGAGCACAGTCTGTCTCACACACACTCAGCGAGCACAGTCTGTCTCACACACAC